TTTTACTATGTATCATAGGGTAGCCATTATTATGAGTACTATGGGTACTGTGCACCCTAGGATAGCCATTATTATGAATACTATTGGTACTGTACATCATAGAGTAGACATTATTAAGAGTACTACTGGTACTGTGCATTATAAGGTAGCCATTATTATAAGCACTATCTGTACTGTGTTTCCTGGAATGACTATTATAATAGAGTACTTATATGTTCCATAGCTTGGCACTGACAGGGATTTAGTGATAGTTACCTGTGCCGAGACCCTCCATTCCTGGGATGTCATCTCCAAACCTGAGTGCCGGTGGAGGGAGGAGAATTGCATGAGCACAGAGAAGTAAGCAGTAAATGCTGGTTTAGTTTGATTATGCAGCTTAATGTGAAGTTTTCTGATTGCCTGTTACTACTAGACAGCATGTGCAGATTGTGACAGCAGACGTGAATGTGCATGAATGCGTTTATGCTCCTTAGTAACCCTCCAGAGAGACGCCGTGTACTTGCTGCCTGGTGTACTTGCTGCCTGATGTACTTGCTGCCTGGTGTACTTGCTGCCTGATGTACTTGCTGCCTGATGTACTTGCTGCCTGGTGTACTTGCTGCCTGATGTACTTGCTGCCTGATGTACTTGCTGCCTGGTTTACTTGCTGCCTGATGTACTTGCTGCCTGGTTTACTTGCTGCCTGATGTACTTGCTGCCTGGTGTACTTGAGAGCAGCTTTTCCCGGTGGTCGTTTCCCGCTCCTGCTCCCCACTTACCCTTTCTGTCCAGGCTTCGGGGCCTTGCTCTTAAAGGTGCGAGTGGTCCTCTGCTTGAACTTGGGGGGTCCCTTCTTGGGACTGCTAGGTCCTGCCACGGCAGTGGGGACAGATAGGGTGCTTCCCGCGGGGGCCTCTCTGCTCATCTCTGGGGTTTACTGAAAAGGTTTGGGGGAGGGGAGGGTGTGAGTGCAGTACACACCCCAGGAAACAGTAGCCTTTTAACTCAGCATGTACTTTGTTTTTTTACCCTATACTGCCCCCTACCTGTCACTTTCTTCATACTCATCTATTCACACTTACTGCTGTTGCATGCTGCTAATCCTTAATCGATATCAATCCATCCATTCATCATCTAATCTCTTTATCCTGGTTAGGGTTTGCAGGGTTAATCCTTATAGATGACCTGAAATTAAACCCTGTTGAGTTACATAACCCTCGACACTTTCCAGAACAATCTGCGCTATGTCTGTAATTACAGCCTATTTTTGGATGCCGTCAGACACAGAAGCACAGACGCACAAAAAGGCCAAAAGCGGCCTGTTTCTATTCAGGGCTGTATTTTCTGAGATTAGAATGTTTTATGTAACATTCATGTTTTATATAAGCAGGTCATCCATAGTCAGCAATCCTCACTCTTGGATACTTTGTAACACAGGTTCTTTGTAGGTCTGACCCCCCCTTGGAGTTTAATGTTCTTTCATCTCTACATCCCTTCTCCCATCATACCTGCCTTCTATCCCCACATAGACAGGCAGGGGGCAGCCTAGTGGTGAGGCTTGTTGTGTTTGTGACTTAAGCCTAAAATGGCTAAAGAACAAACCTAGACTGTGTCAAACTGGGTACGAGATGATGTCTAAAAAACCTGATCTCAAAGATGACAGCTGTTACAGCCACTTCTGTGCTGTACCTGAAAATGCACATTTGAATATTTGGATCTAATATTTCATTAGTATTTGTAGCATAATTTTGAGTTATATTTCTGACATGGATTTTTCTATAGTTTTGCATTTCTTACAGTGTAAGAATTAGTAACCTTAACACGTAATTGCTTTATGTGATGAATTTGATTGGCTGCTGAGTTTAGTGTAACAGTGTACCCCTGCCCTGTGCCCTACGTTGGCCTGGCATCCCTTCCAGTGTGTACCCCTGCCCTGTGCCCTACGTTGGCCTGGCATCCCTCCCAGGGTGTACTCCAGCCCTGTGCCCTATGATGGACTGGCATCTTGCCCAGTGTGTACCCCTGCCCTGTGCCCTACGATGGACTGGCATCTTGCCCAGTGTGTACCCCTGCCCTGTGCTGCCTAGGACAGGCCTCTCTGTGACTCTTAGAAGATAGATAATGTGTGACACATAAAGTGAGTAAATGTGAGCGAGAGCTTCCTCTAGATAAATGACATAATTTTTACAGCTTCACCCTCTCCGCATGATAGCACGCTTACCCAGGTGTTGCTAATGTACAGGTAATTATGACACGAAGCCAAGAAGAATTGTTTAATTAAAATCACATTGATTAATCTTTTCATAATGCCATTTCCCCGGGTCTGTTATGGCATTTGTGTTATTCTCCTCCACGCCTAGTGAATAAATACACAGCAGGTAGGATGGAGAGTAAATTGTACCTAATTGAATTTAGTTAACATAAACTCATCATTCCTCTTAGTATATGTTAATGTACCCTGTCTGCACCACAGACTTTACTCTATGCTGTTTTCTCAATGTACCTCATACTGTGACGCAGCTATCAAAGTAGCCTAAGGTTGCTAAGCTAACAGCCGAGTTGGAGGCTTCCACACTTTGTGGATTCTCATTGTGCTGCCCCATTTCTACCAGGATCTTAAGCATCCAGCATCTCTCTCTCTCTCTCTCTCTCTCACTGCTGCTCCTCTTACCTTCTTCCTCGGGGCGTTTGGTCTCCTCTTCCTCCCTCCCTCTGTCTTCTTTCTGAGAGCAGGTGTAGTGATCAGCCTCTTTGGTCTGTGGATCCTCTTTACTTCCTCTTCTCTCTGCTATCTGTTGTTTCTCTTCACCTCCTCTCAGTCCTACCTTTTTATACCCATTCTCCTGCCCACATCTCCAGCACCCCCCTCCCCCCGCATGTACAGTGACAGGGATAAGAAGGTGTATTTTAAGGCCTGACTTACGGGTGGGTAAGCCTGCATGTGTTTGCAGGAGGTCTGTTAAAATCAGCCTCCTTGAATTGAGCTTCAGCCCTATTCTCTGAATCCCGCCCTAAATATAGCCTCGTCCCAAAATAAACCCCACAAATATTTTTATTGCGTTTTTTTCCTTTGCTTTTGTCAACAAGCATTTATCCATCGTCAAGGTTGAAGAATGTTTCCATAATTTTTGTCCGTGTCCATCATCTTATACCATGATAATGTAGACTATCAGTGATTCTCTAACACTACAGTATTATAATTAGGTGCTGTCAAGTCTGTATCGCCTCCTGCTGGTCATATACACAGCACTTGTCTACAGTGCCTGTCCCCTTCGGTGTTCCAAACCTCTGTCCCTTTTTGTGAGTTCATCTACCCTGTTTCCGGTTTTGCTCTTTTCCCTTAATTGTATTTGGCACCAGAAGGTTATATGTTTAAATACCAGGACTGCTTCTGTACCGTAGAGCTCTGTGTGTTAGTGAACAGAGCCAATAAAATGTTACCGAAGATGTAAGATCTGCCGAGGAAGCAGAACAATGGTGGAATGTGTTTGTCCACTTTATGTAACTGAAAATTATTTCAAATTGTAGATTATAGACTGAGCAGCTGCTGGTTTCTTACCAGTCATATGCTAGTCCAGTGATGCCTGTAATCCCATTGTGATGCACCTTCAAAGGGTTAAATACTAAGGTAATTTACCATATTATCCCACTTACTGTTACCCATGGTGGCTGTGCAAAACACTGGTGATGCTTACCCAGAAAACAATTCCTTATTTTGTTTTTCTATCTCTCCATGCTTTTACCCTGACAAAAAATCTGCAGCACGTTTGATAAAAAACAGTACATATGCGCTCAACAAATTTGATGTGACTGTTAAATTATTAGCTTTCAAAGTCGATGCATCAGTTGTCACCAGCCAATGAAGAGCAGGAGTACATAATTTTAATGAAATTTTATGATGCCTGTTATTTAGGATGTTTAATAATGAATGACTTGTGCTGGGAGTTGCTGCTGGGGAAAATTTTGAAATCTCAGTAATGTTTGGTGGACAGAGGTCCACTAATGGATGGCTAAGAGCCAAGCATCTATTTAAACTGGTTTTAACCGGTTTCATGCATTAGAAATGTAATCCGGGCATGGTCGTGCATATATTCTCAGATATATACAACATTACTTTCTTGTTGAGGTCTCTGTTGGCGCAGAGGATGTCTGTGTGTCTTGGGCTGTGGTTTGAATCCTGCCTATAAATGTTTCATGTTTGTTTTGTGGTTTTCCTTTTAGTACTCCAGTTACTTCCAGCAGTCCAAAAACAATGAAAAGTTAGGTGAATTGGTGTTTCTGTATTGCTTGGAGTGTGATTGTCTGTTTGTGTGTCTCTGGTGTCCCACTCAATGTGTCCCATCCAGCGTGTCCCATGCAGCGTGTCCCATCCAGCGTGTCCCATCCAGTGTGTCCCACCCAGCGTGTCCCATCCAGTGTGTCCCACCCAGCGTGTCCCATCCAGTGTGTCCCTGCCTTGTGCCCAGTGCTTCCTGATGTGGGCTGCAGCCTCAGTGTGACCCCAAGCTGCTCAAGCCATTATCAAAAATAGATTATACTATGTATAATATATATAAAACATGTATGTATACAACAAGGACGATAATACCACTAGGGTGGAGGAAGTGGAGGAAGTTTAAGGCCAGAGGTCTGTGGTCCATGTCCCAGAAGGACTTTGAAGAAGAGCTTCATCTGATCTGCTCCACCTGATCTGCTCCACAGAATGGTTATGTGTATATTCATAAATATATTTGATTTATTGATTTTTTTTGTTATTGTTTATTAATATTATTTATTGGTATTTTAAATCCTGGTTTAGTCGTGGTTCTGCTGGCAGAAGGCTACGCTGAACAGCACGTTGCTTCCAGGGTCAAAATTTCTAAGACGGCAGTGCACAAGAATTAGGTGAAATGTACACTATTCTGATAAATAAAATCTTACAAATTAAGCACCATAAATTTCACTTAAATAAATTAAGTGAAATGAAAAATGATTCCAATCCAAGTAAATGTTAAAAAATTCCAAAAATTCTCAAGAAAGTTTAATGATATTGTTCGTAATTGTGTTAACTATGGGAAGGAACTTCTGTACCGAGATTACAAAAGGCGTTTTGCCGACCAGTCAGCTAACACATCATGAAAACAACTAAAGTTTATTAAATAAATGTCGGAGTGCACTAGTGGAGACTTAATCTGCCATCTGCTTAAAAATGCTTAGCGAGAAAGTAAAAACGAAAACAGTGCCAAGTGTAACCGCGTCAGCACTAAAGCCTCATTGTGTAATATGTTCCACGCCTCTATTTTAAACCTTGTTTTTATCGGTTAATAGCGGTTACCTTAATACCAAGCACACAGGACATAATCTCCTCTAAGACATCGTCACGTTTGAGCTTTGCAGCCTCTGTAAGCTAATTTGTAAGCTGACTGCTTATTTTACCCATAACAGTTTACCTAATATTTGGTGGGTATCGCCTGGGACTGTAATCCATTAGAGAAATCAGGAAGTTTGTCTGTTGTAAATAATTACCTGGAATAAAGTTCTGTGGGCGTCGTGGGACGTATTTGCGGAGAGTTTTGTAAGTTTTCATGTTTCATGTTTACGTGTTGTAGGCAGTGATTACCCCTAGGGGGCAGTATCGACTTTCATGCTTACGTGTTGTGGGCAGAGTGATTAAGTTTGTTTTGGTGGGGGCAGAGGGGTTCAGTGAAGGAGCAGGATGAGGTTCACAGCCTGCTTTTATTTATGAAAGACGCAGCCAAAATAATAACAAAAGATGTGTACAGTTGGTATGCCGGCCATTTTTTGGACCACCCCAGATTTTGGTCATCTGTCCTGAAAAAATTAATTTCATTCCGGGACACGGACCTCTGGAATGGCGTCACTATATGCAGTGACTGGGTGTCCAGTATTCTACAAGACTGAAGTGGCAACCCTTGTGTACAAAATTATTGCCAGGTCTGGACATCATCAAGCAGGTTATCTATCATTCTGAGACTTTCAAAAGAACAAAATAGCCACAAACAAACATTATTAATGCAGGTGTCTATTCTGGGGCATTGAAAGTGCCTTTTCTGGATTAATCAGTAATGTAGACCAAACAATGCAGCCAAATGCAGACGTCGAACCCCGTTTGTCTGTTTTGCCCCGTTTGTTTGTTCCATTCTGGCTTGTTTAGGCTGTATTCCTGCTGAAACCCAACCGTGTGTCACACTCAGCCAGTCTTTTCACACTCGTCGTCATGGAAGCTCCCTGCTCTGTATCAGAATTTTATTGTCAGCCGCACCTTGAATCTTGGTTATTTAATAACTTGTTTTTTTGCTATGCCTGCTCCTTTGTCCATGTCTATGTTGTAAAATGCCAAGTGCTTCCATTACATTTTTAAATACGGATACTCATCTTGGCTAATGATTTAAAAATGTACTTGTTTCCCAGCGCTGTGGTTCGTTCATTTAAGAAGCGTTTGGAGATCTTAGCTTACAAAGTGTCCCGTGGGGCTTGACGTCCTTCCGGAAGCTGACACTCCTCAAGAAGCTCAACGCTGAGGGGTTTGATGAGGGAGGCGAGAGCAACAGAGGAGAGGGCACACAGAAAGCATGTCTCTGTGAGTGACCTCCCCCCCCATGACTGTTTGAGAAAACATGGGAGGAGGAGGGGTGGTGGGGCAGTGCGGAGAGGGGTCAGGTGCCAGGAAGAGGCGAGATAGCTCCCGGTTTGGGCTCTTCGTGGGTTTTAAGGAGCCCAGATGGATTTACTGAAAGGTTCAGGAGAGGAAGGTGGGGAGCAAACAGATGGGAAAATCACTGCCCCCCCCCCCCCAGCCCAGTGGTATCCGTCTGGCTGGCTACCAGGCAGGCAGGGATGAACTGGAACGGGACCAGAACTGATACACATCAGATGTTAGTTGTCAGTGAAAACTAAATGGCTCTCTGCTTTCATCCATTTGAGCGGAGTCTTTAAAGTGTTGCACTTGGCACAAAAACAGTCCCTCTAACTCCTAATGTACAAGTATATTCTACGTGTTTCTCTTTGTTTTTTAGATTAGAGAGGGTTCAGGAATAAACGCAGTGTAACTGGAATGATCTCGCTGTCCCAGGTGTTATTTTTTTTTAAATATTTATAACGGGGGGAGGGAGGAGCAGATGGAAAGGAGTGAAAAATGGGACAGGCTGGGATGGGGGGGGGGGTGGCTGCCCCTGTATAAACTCCATGGGCATTGCTGGGCTGCTGCAGCTGAGTATAACATCTCCAAACACCCCCCCCAGTTAATACCCATCATCTGTTTAATCTGTTTACTGGGAGAATGATGCTGTGGACTTTGATCATCCAGCAGCTGGACTCAAGACCTGCAAGTCACTGATTTTTAATGATCCATCTGTTCACGCGCTGCATTGGAATTTATTTCGCTGGCAGTTGTGACAGTTTCGCGTGGCAGCGGCGCGACACGCTGGCAGGTCCGACCGAACGCAGCCGCGGTGCCTCCTGGCCCTCCAGCCATGGCGGGAATCAGGAGTGATTCTGGGGATCCGCCGAAATCTTCCTGGGAACCTGGGAGGGAAAGAATACTTTACTGGAGATTTTATTACATCCGGCCGTGTGTCTTCAACACACGGTGTTAGGGATGCACAGAAAGGGGTGGGGGGGGAGCATGACAGCCTCTGTATCTGTATCTCCCCGCTTTGCAAGAATGATGCAGGAAAACGAAGGACCTCGAATCACCTGCAGTGGACTGGCCTGACCTCTGAGCCTCTGTTTCTTTTGTTTTCGACGGTCACTTAAATTATAAACTGGCTTTGTTTTAATTTAGATTTAACTGGCTTTCATTGTACATTTATATACTTGTCTATATACTTAGACAGTTCTTCCATTCTGATCCAGTTTAGAAGTCAATTTGGTAACACTACACAATCTGTTACATCTGTCTAGCAGCTATTTTATTTTATTTTATTTTATTTTATGTATTTCATTATATATTTGCTGTCTTAGACTTTGCACGCTTACGTTTGTTCCCCCTCTTCTGCAGTTGACTTTGGCTCCATATAGAATCCGGTTTTCTGTTAAACTGTACCTAAAATAACACAGCTGTCCTCCATGATTTCATTTTAGCTTCCCGGCTCCCGGCTGATCTGTGTTTCTCAGGAGGGTGACGGGACACACACTGTATCCTCACTGTATCCTCACTGTATCCTCACTGTATCCTCTCAGATTTTGCTTGAGACGCCTGACTCGGCATTTCGCAATGGACTGCCGCAGTTTCATTTACATGCCATTTGTTTCTTATTGATGTTGATCATCTAAAATAGCCATCGGAATTATAGGAGTTGCATCTTCAGTTCACATCTATTTCTCCAGAAATATGGGCTATTAAACTAATGGCTTTAAATGAGTGTCACAAGCTGTGTGACCTAATATAATCATCTCTGAATTCAGCCAGCTGAGTAGTTAATTTAATTCCATCTATACAATTTCCTATAAAAAAAAAAAAAAACAGAAAAACAAGTGGATGTTTGTCCAAGTTCCAGTAGAGGGAAGGAGGGTTTCCTGAGGCTCTCGTTAGAATCACTTATTGGCCTGAATAATGATGCAGAACCTTAAATATGTATGATCTAGAACTTTCTATTTTTACGCACCTAGTTTTTCTAAGGTGTATAATGTCACTTAGTGCCACTGGAGAGACACAATGCCCTTTCCCCATAGTCAGGACAGAAACTGTTAGTAGAGATGCATTTCACACATCTTAATGGGAGTTTTTAAGTGCTAAAGTGTAAATATCAGCCAGAGTTTCTCAGTGTTGTTTACTAGATGAAGACTGAAAGATAAGCCAATTAAATGCCATCTATTCGAATGTTTACTTAATTGACCTCTATATACACAAAATGAACGAAAAAACTGTATATAAAAAGTTCAAAATTGTTTCAAAGCATAAAATTATAGGTTTTCTTTGAATATTATTTATGATACTTGAGACAGCCTTTATGTGGGGAGGCGGTAGTGATGTATGTGTTCCATGTGCTTGCATGCAGATTTCAGTCGAGTGAACAGTGCCCTCTGGTGGTGAGATTAGCGTCTACCTTTTCTCTCATATCCTGCTTCAAGTGGAGCGGTGTGTAAGCAGATTTGCTAGTTCTCTTTAAACCTCTCACAGTTTGATACTGAGGGGAGACTAAATGTAAGAGCAATGTATACAGTGCCTTAAATGAGGCGGAATATAACCTCAATTTACATCCATATACACTTTCATCGGATCTCATCTCCTGGGCTACAATTGGGTACATAATGAAATTATGTCAATTAGTGCTTTTTTACTGAATCAGAAGACCATTACGTCTCGTGTTATTGTTTCACTAGTCTAATCCATTAAGTTCCTGTTTAGACTAAGGTGGAAGTGTGGGACAAGTATGATACTGGAAATGAAATGTAAACCACTCGAAAGAGCATCTCAACTGGTGATGACGCTACATTACCCATCCCCCACACTGACGGGGGGGGGGACACGTACTCCGACGTGCGGTTACCTCACCCCACCAGTAACACCTGCCGAGTTCACACGCAGGGACCAATCGGAGTCACACGGCAGGTCATGTGACGTGGGCAAGTGAGACCGACAGATATCCATGCACTGGCACGGTCCAGCAGAGCAGGAGATACGACGTTCATGACTGTTTTTGTTCTCAGGGTTTCTAAAGTTCTCGTAAGATTTCTAAAGCTACCTGAAAGCTACGATGCTGTTTACGCTGCTGCTTGCCTTAGTCATTGTGTCAGTCACTACAGAAGAGAAAGGTAAGGTGTGTGTTTAAGTCTCAGCACAACCCTGATAAGAATGAACAGCTATCTCTGTATTGGCCTCCTTCCCCTGCATTGGTTCCTTCGATTTTGTTTAGATATTTAATTTCTTATGTCGAAGGAAACCTTTAGTTTTTAATGAGGACAATTCAAGTTAAGCATCTTATTCAAAAAGCCAACGTGGATTTGAGTTGACGACTTTCAGGTCACGAGTCCCTGTCTTGGCGTAGTAGGGCTACCATCTGCCTGAACGCATGACAATATGAATATATAAAAACATTCATATGTGTGAATTGTATTTGTCATCTAAATTCACAGTTGTCTGTATGTCTTTTTCAAGACTGTTAGCTGTGTTACAGTAATATTGTTCGCACTGTGTTTGTCGGGGTGTGGGTGAGTGGATTAGGACACCGTTCCTGTGATTGTAAGGTCTCTGATTCAAATTCTGTGGTCGGCAGAGTGATTTCAGCGTTGGGCCCTTAAGGTCAATCGCTCCAGCCACTGGTTGACCCTACTTTCACTTTTCTATGTTGGATAAAAGCGTCTACTAAATAAATAATTGTGATCAGCTTCTGGTTTTATAATCGTGAGGTAGGAGGTATGTGTCACTGCCCCGGTGGACAGGGGATCGGTCCCAGGTGTGGAGCTTGCTGCCTGCTACCACCACTGACCTTCTGTGTGTCTTCCTGCAGACAGCGCCCTCCCCAGGCTTGGAGACGTCAGCGCAACCGAGTCCTTCATCGATTCATCTGAAGTGGTGGTCGTCGGGTTCTTTGAGGTCCGAGGTGACATAGGAAGGAGAGGCGGAGTGGGGAGGCAACCAGACGTGGATCTGGGGGGGGGGGGATGGTGGCAAGGGGTGGCCGTGGTCATCTTTGACTGAAACCTGGCCACCTCAATTTTGCATTTTTGTGGCATTTTTTTCTTGCCTAGATTTGCTTCTTTTAGTGGCAGAATTTTCTCTACAGCCACAAGACACCTGGGAACCAGTTACTGAATTATAAACAATGTGGACGGATGGCGTTTAGGTACCTTAAATATTCCTTTATTTTCTAGATGCCTTACATTCACATTTAGATTTATGTGCCCCCCCAAGATGACCTCTGGTCCTACCCTGGCCACCCCACTGAAACATTTCTGGCTCTGCCATTGGTGGCAGCACCCGGAGGACAGGATCTATCGCAGAGACACCCATGTGCCGGGATACCGGCACCGAAATTAAAAGTGCAGCAAAAGTTTGGGACTGAGAAAGAGGGACATTCTGGGTCGTTTCGCATTTATGGGCTGAACCGTAATGATGTTGTCCACTCTCGCTTGATCTTTCTCAAAACCGCAGATTTGGCAGAGAAGCCGTCTGCCGCTGTGGTCAGGGAGAGTGGGCACCTGTCCCAGAATTCCGCGCCTCTTGGCCAAACTTCCCGTGCGGGGGTTGAGGGCTGGTTGGACAGGAAATGAGGGAGCTGTGGGATTGGCGCGGCCTCCTGGTCCTCCCAAACCACAGTAAACATTAGAGGTGCAGCAGAAGGATGGAAGAGGCAGAGGAATGGATGGAGGTTTTCAAGAAAGAGGTTGTAGGGTACATTGCAGTAGACAGGGAGGAGATATATATAATTTGCACATAAATAAATCACATCTCTGAGCGTCAGTCTTTGCACGATCCTGTTTGTTCCATTCCTATATGTGTCTTGATCACTCTCCTCCTTCTATCCATCCCTCTCCATGTCCCCAGGGGGGGGACAGTTTTGGCTATAAGGAATTTGTTACGGCCGCGTCCGAGCTAAACGACGTCCCTGCAGCCTTGTGCCATGAGAAGGAGGCGTGGCCCCATTTCAACATCACCTCTGACACCATCTCCATCTTCAGGAAGGTAAACCATCGTCCTGCTGCAGACACACGGCCCTGGATCTCGGTTTTTGCGTTGTGTGTCGTACCTCCCTGTGATCTACTTGACACACAAGGTTCCTCCCTATCTTTCCGCTTGCGGACACGGCGCCCTCCTGCTTACCAGGCCGATCTTCACCGGGAGGACCTGCTGCTCTCCAAGGCCCAGGCGCTGGACGTCGACGGACTGACGCGCTTCTTCAGCATCAATGAGCTGCGCTACGTCACCGAGTACAACCAAGTGGTACGTTTTGTGGCGGTCATCAAGGCATCCCACAATGCCCTAGTGTCACCGCGGTTCTCTTGTTCCGTCCCATCGATGCTGCGCTAATCGACCTACGTGCAGGCAGTGCTCGGCAATCCGGAAGCTGCGTTCCTTACTGTTTAAGAGGAGAGAGATATTCATCTCTTCAGAAGTAAGTCCATTAAGGTTATAACCCTCAGACGTGGATCATGAAGAATTCAGCCAACACCCCGTATGAAAACGAAGCTGAAGGAGGGCACAGCTGCAGTGGCACCCCCCAGAAACCAAAAAGCTCACACAGAGTCTATTATGTTCATTTATTTTATTTATTCACACCCCCAGACAGCAGTGGGCCTCTTTAAGTCGAAGGTGAAAACGCACCTCCTGCTGCTTGCCAACAGAGGGAGCCGTGATTTTGACGACCTTAAAGACAAAATGGTGGCTCTCGCTCCTGCATACAGCGGCAAGGTCGGTGATGGGTTACATGCCAGCGAACGATCAATCCGTACTTTAATGCCGCCGTCTGACGGCCCTCCCCGGTCCTGCTTACAGTTCTTGTTCGTGCTGGTGGACGGGACTGTGAAATCCAACGCCCACTCCCTGGGCTACTTTGGACTAAAGCCGAACCAGCTTCCCAGGGTGGCGATCTACAACCAGGACTTGGACAGGAGCTGGCTGCTGCCCCCGGGGGAGATCACCCCAGAGCGCCTGAGGGAGTTTTGCGACTCCTTCCTGCAGGGGGAGCTCCAGGTGAGAAGGGAAGCTGAATCAGTCACCCTGGGATTCGGACGTCGACGCACCAGCTGCCCACTCTTTTCTGTCTGGTCTCTCTGGCTGTTTTCTTGACTGTTTTCTTGACTGTTTTCTGTCTGGTATCTCTGGCTGTTTTCTTGACTGTTTTCTTGACTGTTTTCTGTCTGGTCTCTCTGGCTGTTTTCTTCACTGTTTTCTGTCTGGTCTCTCTGGCTGTTTTCTTGACTGTCTTCTGTCTGGTCTCTCTGGCTATTTTCTTGACTGTTTTCTGTCTGGTCTCTCTGGCTGTTTTCTTCACTGTTTTCTGTCTGGTCTCTCTGGCTATTTTCTTGACTGTTTTCTGTCTGGTCTCTCTGGCTGTTTTCTTGATCCTTTCCCTCTTCTGTCCATCCGCTACACACCACTTACGCTCTTTGTTTCTTCCCCTCAAACCTGGCTTGCCCCTTTAAGCTACTGGCCAAATGAGTCAGTCACATGACTGGCGTACTTTCATATATACTGCATGTGAGCAAACTGATGTGGATTTTGTAATCATACAACAATATTACATTTATATAACTACTCATATATTGCTTTCCAGGAAAATCTTACTCTGTAGTTTGAAGCTTTTTTTATTTATTGATTCTCTTTGGAAATTCCACTGTAAAGTGCTAAGCCACAGTTTGCCTGTGAAACTGCTCTATTATCAGAGATGTCAAGCATGAATCGGAGTGACAGCCCCTTTTCAAAACCAGGCAGTATTAAAATTTTGCAGACCCACATATTCACGGCTGACAAGACCACACCTTTTACCCATCTTTTTTTTTTTAACGGACTTCCATCCATCTCTCCATCTTCCATAACCACTGATGTAATATGGGATCCAGTTAAGCCTGTAGCCTTTGCCAGGAAGTATTGGGCACAGGGCAGGGGACACCCTGGAAGGGATGCCAGTCCATCACAGGGCACCAGGAGGGGGTCACCCTGGAAGGGATGCCAGTTCACTCTCTCACATGATTTTGGAGAAACCACTTCACCTAACTGCATGTTTTTGGACGGTGGGAGGAAACCAGAATGTCCAGAGGAAACACTGGCAACACGGGGAAAACATATTCCACACACGCAAACACACACGTGCGAGCACACACCTATGCACACACATATATACATGCACACACACACACACACACACACACACATATACACACACGCATGCATGCATGCATACACACACATGCACATGCACACACACACACACACACACATATACACACACGCATGCATGCATGCATACACACACATGCACATGCACACACACACACATATACACACACGCATGCATGCATGCATACACACACATGCACATGCACACACACCCACACACACACACACATATACACACACGCATGCATGCATGCATACACACCCACACACAAACAGACATGCATGCATGCATACATACACACACGCAGTGCAGCCCGTGCTCCTAGCAGTGCTCAGAAAGCAGGCAGTGTGGCCGCACGTCTTCCCCTGCAGGTGGTCTGCACTGCGGCGGCTCCCGTATTTCCCAGACTGCCGGTTTTGCTTTGTAACTCACACACGTGGCTAAGTGTACATTTATCATATAACTGCTCTTACAGCCCCCCCCCTCCCTGCCCACCTCCCCTCAGAAAGTCCAGGCGAGGCTTTAACGGCTCCGGTCTCCCCCCGGTGCTCATTTTCTTCGTCCTGGCTTCATTCCCTCGCTCTCCCACAGGTTCCTCCCCCCCCCCTACCATACAATAAAAATATATCTGATCTCCGATTCTCGCTGAACTGGCAACCTAAATCATACTTTGGCGTGTAAACTGGCATGTAAACAGTGTGTAGAGTTTATAAAATGTTTGGACAGGGAATCGATCACGGTGTTTATATTTGCCATGGGAACACAGTGAGAACACAGTGTAAAGTCTGCAGAGATGATGCTGAAATATCGTCCTTTTTTTTCCAGAAGCAGACAGAGGAAGAAAAGAAACCAAACTCAAAAACTGAGCTCTGACGCCGGACTGTGATTTGAAGCAACCATTAAATCTTTCTCTTGTTTTTATTCGATTGTATACACTCTGTGGCCACTATATTAGGTGCCCCTACAATGCACCAGATAACCCCCCCATTTGCGTCTAGAACCAGTTCACCAATAGGTGCATTGTGCATTCAGAGATGATTTCTGCACCATGCTGTTACACTCACCGGTTATTGGGCTCCCTGTTACCTTTATCAAGTCTGCCGCTTCTCCTCTGATCTCTCTCTCATCCACAAAGTGTTTTTCAGTCACAAAAATGCCATTGATTGGATGTTTTTTTTTTTTTTTGACTTATCACTCTATTGTCTGTAAACTCTACGCACTGCAATTTGTGAGATGCTGGAACTGTCACGTCCAGCACTGGCAGCCACAGCGCATTCAGAACTGGGCAGCCGCTCTCCTGTTTAGTCTAACAGTCAGTGAACCTCCTGACCCGGCCTGTGTGCTGTTTATACTCATTTTCAGCCAAATGATTGGCTGTTTGTGTGGCGGAGCAGGTGTAACTAATAAAATGGCTTCTGAGTGTATGTGAAGCTGTATGTGTGTGTGTGTGTGTGTGTGTGTGTGTTATGTTTATATTACATTGTGGGGACCAAATGTCCCCCACAATGTAATAAAAACCTGTTATTTTGATGTTGTGGAGACCATTTTTCAGGTCCCCACAAAGATCTGTGAATGCAATCAAAAAACTAAAAATGCCAAAAGTCTCTTATTTAGTTTGGTTAAGGTTAGGGCTGGATAGGGGTTAAGATTGTCATGTTGAGATTAGAGTTTTCCAGATAAAAATGAATGCAGAGTCATCACAAAGATATAATTACAAATTTCTTGAGAATCAGAGTTAGAAAACAGGAGGGGAAACTTTTAAATATATGGCAACACACCTTCGGGCTGAACTTTTAAATGCCCCACAAAACGATTAGGTAGATCTGCAGAGATTCAGCCAGTGCTAATTAAGATAATTAGCAGGATTGTTAACCACAAAGGAACAACCCAATTGCAAATGTTAGAGGCATGTATGGACCATGGAATGCATCTGGATGGGGCACCGGGGGGGGAGGGAGAGGAATTAAGTAATATCCACGTCATAGGCTTCTAAATTTTCAAAACCTGCTAACCTTGCGATACACTTTTTAGCCTCTGGATGTTGAGAATCAGTTGAATCATACCCAAAAATGGTTATTTATTTCATGATTGACACTGCATTCTGAACGATCCCCCCCTCCTCACCTATTATATATCTGTGTGGGCATGTCTGTGGTCATGCATCGCATTAAATGTGAGGGAACAACCTGAAACCTACCAAATTGTATTCGTTGGGCTCTCTCTCTGCCTGTAAATATTTATTTTATTTAAACTTAAAAGCAGCAGTAGAGCTTTGAAATGTTATATAAAAGGAAATTAGAAAGTGAAATGGAAATCGACGGTTACCCACACATGTGCGCCATTTTGTTATACAAAACCACAGTACTATACAGAACAAAAATGAAATTACATGCATGAAAAATATGAAATTGTATAATAATAGTACAGCATTCCAAAGTTATATTCCATGAGTGCATGATGGCACAGTGGCAGTTGTCAGATCACTGCAATAATACTAGTACCAGTTTGGTTACACTTCCCATTATGTTTATACCAGTGACAGATCTCTTCAGCTTTGGGCAGAATGCTTTGGGGTCTGGAATCTGACTGTGTGGGTTTGTTCTGCAGGGAATAACAGAACAGAGACAACAAGATGTTCTCAACTTCAGGGAAATGGTCAGTTAGAAATACTGAGACTTTTCCCAGACTACTTAGGGCTCTGCCCATCCATCCATCCATCCATCCATCCATCCATCTTCCACAGCTTGTATCCATTTCAAGTTTCTTGTGAACATGGAAGTTGTCCCACACAAGGCAGCCCCCCCCCCAAAAAAAATTTCACTTCATCACAGGGATCTCAGTCATGCAGCTGGAAACTCACTGAAAACTTTAAAGTGCCCCAACCTCTTGGGATCCAACCCAACAACCACCTGGGCAGAAGAGCAGGAGCATCTTCCTGAAATGCCTTTACAAGAAGGATTTATACATTGTAGGAGAAGCAAAGCCTGTGGACCAGCGCGACATGATGTTCGGGTAGTGACCATCAGATAACCCATCACATTCCTCTGAGATTGTACCCAGCAGGCTGGGCTGAGACCAATATGGAAAATCTCTCCTCAAATAACCCCTCACCCTTCAATAACAGGGCATATACACACTCTTTCTGAGTACAAGCAATAGTCTGTAAGGGATTCATAGCCACACATTCCCCGAGCAAAATACACAGCTAACTAGAGGCATTAGAGTCTTAAAAACAACTGAAGAGAATTACGAGAATGTAATTATAACTACAACAAAGAAAGACGAACTCGGCTGCTGCCATCACAGCTGACAGACCACCCGTGTTCTTGTTTATAGACTGTCCCAGTTGAACGAAATTGCCCCAAAGTAGTGTAGCAAAACAGATGGTCACGGGTTTGCTAGGAAGGACCGAGCGCCGTTCCGTCATGTTAGCATTTTAGCATGCATTCTTTAAAAATCACTGTGTGGGAGATTGTTTATGACATAGATTTATATCTGCAAAAACACCATATGGATGTAGAGCGACGGAAAGAGTGGGAAGCTGGAAAGGAGGGCCGAAAAGGCATCCGTCACAGACATTATATGCCACAAACAGCCGTTTGCTATAAATACTTTGCACACACACACACTTGTCTCATTATCTGTCATGGTACTATCAGTTTAAAGCAGTTGTGGGACCATAAGTGTGGAGAATTTATTGTGTTTGTATTATTACAAGCCTGGCAGAGGACACGCACGCGCTACGCTGTGGTTTCCCCCAGACCCCACGGGGCCGTTAGCCCCCCAGTCTGCATTTGCCAGCTTCAGCTCCACTTCAGCTTTTCCTCCAGCTGCTCTGGGCCTGAGTCCACAATCCCTGGCTGTGGGACTGATGTCTACAGGCCTGTGGATGTGGAGTGGGACACAGAAGAGAGTCTCCCGGCGCCTGCATGAGTGCCACACTGACAGTAGAGGGTTATGAATTGATCTGGGAGGGCATAGAGGGTGACCGCTTAGAGATAGAAAGTGATGAAGAGGAAGACAGAATAAAGAGGGATCTGTCTGTTCTGAGTGGACAGGGCAAACAGTGCACTATTTGTCAGAGGTGGAAAGTTCTAATCCAGAAAGTACAAATCCAGATCCAGATTTTGTTTCTACCAACCTGCTGAGTACTCTGTGACTGTGATTCTTTATGCTCAACTCACTGGTTGAAACAAAATTTTGGTCTAGATTTGTACTCTCTGGATTAGAACTTTCCACATCTGCTAATTGTCCACATCAGTGTTTTTTTTTTATTTTCAGTTTGTATACATGTATAGAATAAGCAGCATTTCTGACTAGATGATTCCATTCAGTCAGGTTACTTCTTTATAAGCTGAGGAAAAAAAAACTCACACAAGACTAAATCCACAGGACTGTGTGCGTACAGTAAATGAACAAGATGAGGAAATGATAAATCCTTCGTTAGAAGGACGTGAAAATCCATTTAAATGCCTTACATACAAAACAAAATCTCCAGAGAGGAACGGAGATATACACAATTAACTCGAAGAGCTGAACCTGAGGCCTCTTTCACAAAGCAGGATTTCTTGCTTAGCCAGATAACTTGTTGGATTTAAGGTAGTCTGTGCTAACTGCACAGACTAAGTGAATGAAGAAAAGGTCCATTTAACTCAGACTACATTAAATTCAACAAGTTTTCCATCTAAGCAAACACCGTAAAAATCTGACTCCGCGCCCAGTTGAGCGCTCAATCTCAGCAGCTGATTTTGTGTTTTCCTTCACTATTATTAGACTTCAGATAAAGGCTTTCCAAATGTCTGCCTGCAGACTGTCAATGTCCACATTGTGGAATATTTATTTATCCAAGGAGTCCAGGATGGAGTCGTCACATTATGCCTGTGGTCAGATTCATGTCCCAGGAGTCACATTACGGTTTGTCCCTAGAGAAGGATGCTTGGCCTACTGGCTTCAGTTAATATCCAGATGTACAATCAGTTTTAATTAAGAAATGTGCAGGTGAGCATAATATGGGTTCACATAATAAAACCCAGTCTGTCTTTGTCTGACATACAGTGGATTTTGTGTCCTATGGGAGCTGAAGGGCAGCTAAACTTGGATGAAGGTTGGAATGGGAGGGGAAAGGGAAGTAGATGGAGAGATACTTAAATAGTAGATGCAGATTATGAATAATAGGGGCACAAGCACAACAAACGATCTGAAAACTGACTCTGAGTTAACTTAACATTCTCAATCATTTAATAATTCATGCAAGGAATGGAAACGCCAGCGTAATGGTATGGTGACTCATTTGGCAGGAATGTTGCTTCTCACCTTCAGGGCTGGGGGTTTAAATGTCCTCCCTGCATCTTCCTCCTGTAGTTAGGTTAATTGGCATCTGTTACCTGTATTGTGCGACTTTGTGCCCTGTGATTCAGGGTGTATCCCGGCCTGTGATTCAGGGTGTACCCCGGCCTGTGATTCAGGGTGTACCCCGGCCTGTGATTCAGGATGTATCCTGGCCTGCGATTCAGGGTGTAC